ACTGTCTCCATACCAACATACATACGTACAAATCTATTGAAGCAGGAGCAGCACAAGATACCCCTTACGTCTCCCTTGGAGAAGAAGACAGGAGAGTGTCAGGTGCTTTCTAGAAGGAAAGGGATCAGATACTTCTTTCACTGAACTGAGCTCTGTGGGATGCTCCAGCAGGGCAGGACTTGCTGCTTGCAGTGACCCTGACAGGAGATGTGTGACATCCAGGTGGCAGGCAGTGACCTCAGACCTACACCCGCGCTGGTAGGAGTGAGTTTTGAGGGAGAAGGGGTCCATATTGCACTATCCGCTCCTGCCAGTAGCAAAGTTTTGGAGTAAGGAATGGGGTATTGAAAGAGTTTCTCTGTCTTTGGCACAGGGATAAGAACTATGTTTTATTAAGGAATGGTAGTACAGTACAAAAATATGGCTGTATAAAATCTGTGAAAAATATGGCAACATGTAAAATAGCCTTTTCTCCTTTCATATGTTCCTTTCTTTTTAAAAAATATATATTGTACGTACTTCTAATCTTTTTTTTCCACCAGCATTAGGAAGCCAAGCAAGGTCCTCAAATTATAGGTGAGAGAAAGGACAACCCATAGTGTAACTTTAAATTGTCTTGGATTTGCCTTAAAATTAAAGATCTTCAGAAGAGGCAGAAAAAAAAAAAATAAATCTTCCAGAAGAGTCTGGGAAAAAAGAAAACGTTTCCGTTCACAGAAAATGAGAATATTCAGCATTTGAAATTGAACAAAGTCCCCCAGCCCTGACCAGGAGAGGAGGAATGAGGGCACCGGCAGACCCACGAAGCGATGCCCCTGCCCGCGGGCTGGTGCTTTGCCAGGGTCAAGGCGAAGCCTCGCAGTCTGCAGCACGCCACGTGCTCGCTGGGCTGTCCTGGACCCTCCTCAGCACCTCTCTCAGATTTCCACGGCACTGGGATCCCAGATGGAAAGCCGCTTTAATCAGGAATTCAAGTGGCAAAAACTGATCCACCTGACCAAAATATAGTAAGGTTATCCTACTTTTTTTTTTTTTTTCTTTTCCACAGTTAAATTTAAGGAAAAATAATTCCTGCTCACCAAGTGATATGTTTCCAGCAACATTTGGAAATAATATTGTTTGGGATAAAGCAATATTTTTCTGAAGAGTCCAAGTGAATTAGGACCTTATTTTCTCTCTTTACTGCTACCCAGACTGCAGTCTATTTTTTTCGGAGGTTTGGCTTCTGAGCCTTGTTCTTAACAAGAGCTAACAATTACCGAGTGAAATTCCACCAATATGCCTGGAAGCTGCCCTGCAACATCAAATCCTGTACATTCTTACTAACAAATATAATTGCTGGCACTGTTAAAGCAGCCTCCTTTGAAGATGAGAGAGGTTATCAAAGCAAGTTCTGTTGCAATACAGAGGCTAAACACAGCCTAGTGCAGATGGAGAAAAATGTTTGATTTCGAAAACGGCACAGACTTGCCGGGGGCTCCTGGGACGTTCTAAGGTCTTGTCCGCATGGTGAAACTGCCTGGCAGGACGTCTGTGGGATAGCTCTCTCAGCAGCGTCAGACCTTTGCCAAGCCCCCGGTCAGTGTGTTTCAGGTTGGGGTGCGAGCGCTGCTCGCTCTCACCGCGCAGGCAGCCCTGGGGCTGGAAAGTGGCCTGAATGGAAACTGGCTGCTTAATGAAGAGAAAATAACGCTGCTTATGGTGAGCATCCAATGTGCCTGGCGGTTGGCAGAGTCAAACTGGATGCAAAGGCAGGCTGGTAAGCGTGTGATTCTTATTTCAGTCCCTAAACTCCCACAGGCTCCACTAGCAGCTGAAGTGCTTCTGTATGAGCAGGAAACACAAGCATCTTTCGGATGATTTCTACTCCCTAATTTGCCTTCCACTGGCCTTAGTCAGTGCCAAGAAGTGACACTGGAGCTCTAGCAAAGCAGTAAGGGCGAGCTTATCTGCACCTCCAGGCAGCAGGTCTAGGATGAACGTGGGATTCCTCTTTGGTCTCGAGGCCCTTCTCTACACCGGCGCAGAATGAAGTGAGGTGGGAACGTATTCCTTCTCCTTGCTCTGGTTTTGCCCTTGGGATGCAGAAACAAAACTCCCTTGGGGGGGAGGATGGCGTACGGGATTTGTTAACAACCAACAGGCAGCTCCTCAGAGCACCTTCAGTGAGGAAGGAGACCTGCAGCCCTGCAGCTGGCTGTGCCCCCGTGAGCCATCCCAGGCAGCCGGGGAAGACTGAGAAGTTGTGTGAACCACAACCAAATTGCCCGACTCCTAAGCGTGAGGTCTGGGCACCGAGGCAGGATTTTTTCTTTTTTTTTTTTTTTTCTTTTTTTTTTTTCCTCCCCCAAATGACAGCGATTTACAGTTGTTCCCCTGCGTGAGCAAGGAGCTGCGGTGCGTGGGCTGCCAAGCCTCTGCCCTGCTGCCGGGCAGGGAGGGGAATTCCCTGGATTTGCTCTTTCATCTCAGACAAGGACGCGCCGTCTAAAGCAATCGCACAACCCGCGGTTGGCACGGCCGGCCGGCGCGGGCGCAGGGAGAGTTCAATAATTCAGCAAGCAAAACCAGAGCCAGCAGCAGATCTGGGCTCCAGCCAAGGCTCGGGAAGTTGTCCTAGCATCACATAACGCCTCTGCTCGACAGCTTCAGCTCTCCCCCTTTGGAAAAGCACTGTCTGCCAGAGAAAGGAGAAATCCTCAGCTTACAATTTTTCCTGCTGCTCCAATAGAGGAGGGGGGGAAGGGGCTGATGTACTGGTTCACACTGGTATCGCATGACCTTTCCCTGTCTCAGCAGTGCAAAGGGAGTCAGAAAGCCAAAGCAGCCTTTGCCAAAATATTAGGAAATATTGCCATTTGCCCTAGTCCACACAGTGACGACTTTTTCTCCGTTTTTTCCTTGCTGTTCTTATCCTTTGTTTCTTTCTTTCTTTTTTCTTTTTCTTTTTTTTTTTTTTTTTTTTTTTTAAATAAAGTGTATTTAGTGCTGGTGAAAGGTGCTGAATTGGCAACCTCGGAAATGGCTGTCCCTCTGCCCTGCCCAGGAGAGCCCTGGTGCTTTCTCTGGGCTTCTTCCTCGTGGCACCGACCCTGTGCTAGGACAGCTCGCACGTCCCTGTGCTCCACTGTCCTCTCCCGTAGCTGCCTCTTGCCGCACTGGTTGGGACACCAGGGCTGAGCGTAGGCTCCCACCTCCCATCCCAGGCTTTGCTGCTGCTGACCTGGGCCAGATTGGACCTCAAAGGGCCGGAGGGCACTTTGCTGGGAGCTGCTCCGGCTGCTACGTGGGATGCAGCTTCTGCAGGCGGGAAGGTGTCTGTTCCCGGAGCAAGCATCGCATCTGCAGCCCAGGTCAGCTGTGGTCCAGTCCTGAGCAGGAGATGGGGGTGAGGGGAGAGGAGGGAGAGTGGAAGCACCCCTTGGGTGCCACTTGTCTCTCTGCCTTCATCTAGTGCCTGATCCAGACCTGACCCCAAGTGCTTCAGTGCAGACTGATTGTCTCTTCCTTCACGCTGTCTTTTACCCGCTAAAGTGCAAACGAACACCACTGAATCACCCCGGGTGCTGCAGCCCAGCTCACGCTTAAGGTCCCAGCGAGGCACGTGGGGCATCAAGCCCTCAACTCGCCCATGCCAGCCCCAAGCCAGGCTTTTAGATAACACCCCGGAGGTGTTTGGTGTGTTCCCCACCCCCCCAGCCAACGCCAACCTGTGCTACCACTTGACCAAAGGGAGACCCCTTTGCTCACCCGTTCCCACCTCCCTCCCTCCCACCGCTTCCCTATCCCCACCGCACTGTGCCGGCTTCCCCCGGGGTAAAGCAGCCTGCTCTGTCTTCCCGTCCACGTTAAAGCTAAATGCAGCACCAAAATAGATACAAAAATAGAGTTTTGGGTCCATTGGCCCAGATTCGCTATTAATATTACTGCTATGAAATGTCTGAAAATAAAAGCCGCTCTTTCTGTACACACCTTCCCCCCACCCCACCCCTTACTGACAATATTGCTGTTCGCCCCGTCCTGTCGCAACAAGGCATGAATATGCCTGTTTTCTCTATATTTTAAATATAATTTCTGCTTTAACTCATCCAACGCTTCCATCCCCTCCCCATTGTAAACAAACATGGCAGAAAGGGGGTTGGAAAAAAAAAAAAATCCTTCATCATTTCTAGTGTTCTGAATAGCATTCCTGACTCCTGGGACTCGAGTCCTGCCAGGTCGGTTAAAAGGACAGAAGGTACCTGCGATTTCTGATGAAGGCCCCCGTGTCCTTCTCGGGTTTCCCATTGGGTGCTCTCTGATGGGGATGAAAGAGATAATGTATTTGCTTTCCTCTATCCAAAAATCACAAAGTGTTTGATTGGCAAACCCGTGACTAAAAAAAGTAAATATATAAAATAAATAACCACCCGCAGCCTCTTTCTTAAATTTCCCCGTCTATCCAGTTTTCAAAGTGCAAAACCTAGAGAAGCTTAGAATGATTTTCTTGGGTTTTTTTCCTTTTGTTAGGGCTTTTTTTTTCCCCCACGTGCTTGACTGGTATGGCCTTTCTATAGCAAAAGTCAGATAAAGCGTAATTGCGGTCGTTTCTGCACATGGAATTATGAATCATTCCAGTGACTTGAGAATCTAAGCTGTTAATAGGCTAAAAAAAGGATTTTTTTTTGTTTATCTTTTTTTTTGATTGTTTTCTTTCTGCATTATAATTAAGCATGAATATATATTAATATATTACACCGCTTGGATTGCAGCTGGAGCAATCCAAACCTTCCTATGCTGTAAAACTAACCCCCACCCTGCACTCCCCAGATCAAGAGCTTTTTTTCTCCTCCCTGTGCCGGTTATCCTCATTTCACATGATTAAAAGTCCCTCCCAGCCCCCCTCCCCCCCCCTTTTTTTTTTTAGTAGATATTGCCACATTCTTATATTCATGCATTGCTGCATTGCTATTGCACATATATAAAGGATTGCTCGCTCCCTCCCAGCTGCTCCCCTTCCCTCACTGGTTGTGCACATCCTCTCTGCGGACGATCTTGTAGATGATCCAGTAGAAAATGTTGAAGATGAGGAAGGCCATAGGGAAGCCGATGCGTGAGATCTTGTCGATCTTCTTGGCTCGCTGAATGAAGAGCTTTCGCATCTCCTCGGGGGAACGGGATGGTGGGGGGACTGGGTTGGCTGTGTTGTTGTTGTTGGCGCCCTTGACGGAGATGCCATCCTTGGCTTGTAGGCAAGCCGGTCCCATCCCGTAGGCAGTGAAGTTGAACCTGCCTTCACCAGCTTCGTCCTCCTGAAACAGATTCAGCATGGGACTCTACTTAAAATGAGATATAGACAGTGCACCCTCGCTATAAGGCTCTCCACTGACAGCTCCCTGCTCTGCAAGGGAAAGACACCTCCACCGTTCCCCGACCTCAGCACTCTTGGACGAACCCTCTGCTCTTGGGAGATCAGCCTTATAGAGGGGTGCCAGCTGTGTGATGCACAGATGCAAATCAGGGGATCCAGGCACCCCGCGGAGAACAGGACTGACTCCCACCCCACTGCCGTCTTTGACATACTTGAACGGTTTGTGGTACCACGTTCGTTTTCCCAATTGCATCCCCTGTTTTGCTTCTGCCTCTCCCTCCCCCCCCAGCTCCTATCAGCACCTTCTTTGCTTTGCCTGTGCTCTATCAGCTTGCCCAGAAGGAGTGGGCTCCATGTAACTCAGGTAGTTGAAGCTGTGGAACTTCCTACAGAGTTACATGGACGCGCGGGCGCCGAGACCTGTCCAGGAAAAGACCTCTGCAGGCAGCGTGCAACCAGCCCTCAGCTCGCCTGCCCACGGGACCCCCCGAGCCCCACGTCCTTCCCCACAAGCCATCTTTCAGGTGAGGAACAGAAGTGCCCTTCTGCAGGTCAACGGTAAGACACGGCTGTTTGTGCTAATTCTAATTATCGAGCGAGAAAAAGAATTTCTTTTCCAGTCTAAAGGCAAATGCTATTGCTGTTTTTTTTGCTGGAGGCCCTGCAGGCTTCTCAGAATGATTTACCCCTATTTTATTGAACACGGGGATGTAATCACAGGAAAAAAACAAGTTTGGCCAAAGTAATACAACCAGTGAGTTGCAGAGGCAGGGTCAGAACCCCACGTCTCTTGGCTACAGGTCACCGAGGCTAATTGTTAGACCAATGGCACTATTTATCAGTTATGGAGGCTGATCCACGCTGCGTCCCCCAATTCTGACCAACCTACCGGCCCCCTCCCTCACAGCCCACCTGCCCGACGTGTCCTGCTGCCCCTTCCCACACTCTGCAGAGTGTCTTTTCTGGTTGGCCCCTGTATCGAGCGGGTACTGCCAGGGATGGAGGCACTGTGCCAGGGGTCTGGGGGGGAGGAGCAGAAGGATGAGCATGCTGGCATCTCTGAGCAAAGCGAAACAACCCAAATAAAATCAAGCCTTTTCTGTTTGGGTTTTTGGGTTTTCTTTTTTTTTTGGGGGGGGGGAAGGTAGCAGGTTGCGTAGTTGTGTGACCTACCAGCAGATTTATTTATTTCAGAGTCCCGGCTGAGATAAATTTGCAGGCATTCGGATAATTCTTCCCTGCTCTGGTTGTGTCCCCTTGGTCCCTGGCACCCGAGACTTGTCAATCCTCAAATATCTTTGCCTCCTCACAATGCCTCTGCGAGGAGGCAGTGCTCCGGTTGGGGAAACTGAGGCACTCCAAATTAGGATGCAGCTGCTCTCGGGGCTGGGGGAGCCTCAGTGCTGAATGAGTACGAGATGTCTTGTGAACTGGGAGTCAAGGTTCACAGAGACTCTTCTCTCAGCTCTCTCCGAGAGAGTTTTTCAGTTAAAAGGCTGATTTTCTGATGACAGGCAATGCAGGCGTTCTACTTTTCAGGCAGCCTGCGGCCTTCCTGCTGCCTCGCCAGCTCCTGTGCCGGGGGCTGCGCTGGGGCGGGCAGTGGGCACCGGCGTCCCTCAGCTCTTGGGGCATCAAGAAGAGTTTTGCAAAGGTCCCTCTCCTCCCGAACGTGTCCCCCTTTCTTTAACTGGTGTCCTTCGTGCAGCCAGTAATGTGTGCGTGGGCTGCAAAGGCCTGGCTTTCTAAGATGCTCTGAGCTTATAGAGTTTCTCGTCATGTCTGTATTATGGGGGGGTCAGGTAAAACTGCCTCTGCTCTTCTCTGATGGCACAAACACACATGCACTGGCACATGTCTGGTTTAGCCTAAGTCACTTAATTCCTTAATTTACTGAATTTCTTTTCTCCCCTCATTGCCGAGGGGCCACTAGCTGTTTTCTGTGGCTGTTTTGTTTTGTGTGAGTGTGGTATCCAGGAGAGAGAACCTAACGGTGTCTTTTTCAAGGTGCTGTGTCAGAGGAGAAGAGCAAAGGCATCACCAGCCACACTGGGCTGGCGTCCTTGGGCAGGGGCTCCAAATACACTCCAGGTGGGTCTGATGACAATGTCATATTAACCAGCCTGGTCCATACATCCAAGGGACAGTAACTCTCTCTATCCATCACGGCCCCTACATGTCCCCGTGCCAGGACCTGTCTGCCTCAGTAAATACAGACAGAATAATGGGATCAGAGCGAGCTGTCTAGTCGATCTTGCTAGAGGTGGCTCAGAAACGGAAAGGGACAATTGAAATATGGCAACAGATATTTATTGATTTGATTTTTGTTTTTTAGAGAGGAAGAAAGACTCTTAATGATGAGAATAAGCTAGCACCTTGCATCTAACTCTGAGGAAAATAAGGAACAAATTTGTCTAGATTCACTTGTCTTAATGCCAGACTGTGGCACATTGTCTAGTGCATTGAGCTGTGAAGAATGGCCAGTAGGTTTTGATTTGGGCACACCTAATAAACGTGGGCATGGGCTGGTCCTCTCCCCAGCTGCCTCCAGCAGCACAGACCACTGCAACATCTCACTTGGGTTTAGCCTGGCATGTCATACCTAAACCAGGCAGCACTACCCAGACAAGTCAGGACATTGGGACGGAGCAATTAGGTTGGTTGGCAGCTGCGCTAACCCATTTGCATATTTGCAGTCTGCTCCTAGTTTTCTGATGAGCCTGCAAACCTTGTTCATTTTGCTTTTGCAAGTGTTTTTGTTTATGCTTTGTTCCAATTAAATTGCTGTGAGATTGGGCAGGGACTGTAATAGCAGCCTTGTGTTCAATGGAACATCTCTGGCAAATATCTTTTAAACTCATCTGTATATTAGTGGCTTTTTTCTCCTCATTGTTTTATCAACAGAGTGATCTGCATGCAACAGCACGGAGCCAGAGACAGGATGCCTGAATCTAGATGAATAGATAAACGCACTATGAGGCACTCATGTGGGGTGGTTTTAGCTTTGGCTCTATTAAGCAGGCCGCGTCTTCTGAACCAAAACCTCCTCAGCTGATTTTGAGATGGTGGGGTCTTGCTCTGGCCGGACAAAATCAGTGGGTGCCGATTTTCTCATCTGTTACTTCTTTTCCCTTGCATTTGTCCAACATTTTTCATCTCTGGTCGTGACTGGGCTGGGGACAAGTGAACAATTGTCTCGTGTTTTGCAGTTAGGACAACTCAAGCAGAGAGAGGCAGATCTACAAAGAGACAGAGATTCCTGCTTCTTAGCCCCCACTGCCTCCTGGAATGGTGGCGGTTCTCCACGCACACCCTGTGAACTGCAGCAGGACAGGTTAGACCCTGGGAAAGACTTTTAATGGCTGGGACAGTGAAGCCATGGAAGGGGGGGCGGTCGCTGTGTGGGATAGATCACGGAGTGCTCTTTAAGATAGAGGGTAGACAAATACCTATGAGGAATATTTTAGGCAGACCTTAGTGGTCTCCTAGGGGCTCTCTTGAGATTCCCATCAGCAAAATTGTCTACAGGGTTTTTTCTTAGCAAATTTACTATTTTTTTAATGCTAGCTTGAGGGCAGCCTCTCACACCTGGTGCTGAAAATTTGACACCACCTACCTGATTCTAACAGTTAATTAAGGACAATTTTAAGTGCTTTTGGTCCTGTGATCACAGTCACCTTTATGTTTCTTTCTAGTGCATCCTATGAGGTGAAATATTTGCTGCGGTACCTCAGCCTAAAAGCTAGTGGAGTCCAGGCTGCAGGAGATGCATGTCTATGTGAAGCATGCATGCTCGGGTTGGCGTCAGTCATGGCAAGTAAGCATGGAGTGAGGCTGAGGCTGAGATTAACGCTCTTTCCTTCTGAGAGGAATTTGCAGGCAGCCTGAGAAGCAGATGCTTTTGAACATGGAGATGACAGAGTCAAAAGAGGTGTCACTTACCTCCGGGCTAACGTAGGTTGCCTTGTTGGGGGACGCTGTTCTCTGATTGACATCCCTCACACCTCCCTGCCTGCCTCCCCCCAGCCCTTGCTGTGTCTTCTGAAGAGGAGAACTCAGACCAGAACACTGCTGTGTGACAACTGTTCTGTTGAGGACAAGCCTTTTGGCTTAGACCCCTTGTCTAGCTAACAAAACCCAGCTTGCTAGACACCTGGGGTCAGCAGACTGTTAGAAGAGACACAACTGATTGAGGTAGCCCTGCTTTTTGATGCGTGACCCTCCTTAACATTTGACCATATACTGAGGACTTCCCTGAGAGCTAGTGGCTTGGTTCAATTGACCATGTAGGGATGTTCTGCTGGGACAGATTCCAGCCATGTCCTTCATGCTTTATGTATTACCTTATGGTGCCTCCTCTTCCTTCTGAACCTGAGCAGCTCTTTGTGCTGCCGAGACACGAAGTTGACGGCAGCGTACTCTAGAAGTGCGGAGAACACGAACAGCAAGCACACGGCCATCCAAATGTCTATGGCCTTCACATAGGACACCTAGGAGTCAGAAAGGGTGACTGAGATGGGGTGGCTTCTTCACCCAAATGCCTTTTTGCTTGCCATTTTACAGGTTACTCCCAAGGTCTTTGGAAGGAGTTGATCAAGATCTGGTTCATATCTGCTCTTGGATACCAAAATCTAGCTCATTTAACACAAAAGTATTATCTGGCCACTGAAACTGCTCCTGGGCTCTTAAGTAGCAATAATTCTACACTTCTCAATTTATCCAAGTCTTGGCTGTGATGGTTTATATGCAAGGAAAATAGTAATCCAATCTGACCACACCAGAAGTCCTTCATAACAGGGAAATTCATTACTGGCATAAAAGTATGATATTCAAGTGAGTAAAAGGTAGAATGTAGAGTGCATATCCATGTGTGGTTGTTGCAAGGGTTTGTAAGGTACAGAGCTCCTGGCTACTAGGAGCTGTGGTGGACCTGGGGTGAGTGCTGAATCTTAGGGGAATTTTTGCTGCTAGTCATAGAAACTCTGCTAAAATTTTTGCAGACAGGGACTGGAATTTGTTCTGCTTGCCCTCAAACTGGAATAGGGAGATGGCAGCATAATGCCTCTTGTGTTGAGCAGGAGGATCTGTGTGCTGACTCAATTATGTGCTGTCCCCAGACACATTTACCCCGAGCTCTCCATGAAGATAAGAGTGTTCCCTACCTTGGGCAGTGATGCTCGGGAACCAGAGCTCTGTGTGGTCATAGTGAGCACTGTGGTGATCCCCAGGCCAACACGAGCAGGTGCAGCATCCATATTGATCCAGAAGGAGATCCAGGACAGAATGACAATAAGGAGGCTGGGGATGTACATCTGGATCAAGTAATAGCCCATCTGCCGCTCCAGGTGGAAACGAGCTTCTATACAGGTGAACTTGCCTGAGAAGGACGGGAGATACATGGAAGATTACTGGTAAGGCACGGTGAGCCTCCTGTTTTCAGCTATTGTCTGGGGACTTTCCTTGCCTTGCCTAGAACCAGAGTCTTGTTAGAGGAGGAAATTAACAGCTGTTGCCCAGTTCTGAAATATGAATGTACAACATCAAAAAAGCAAAGAAAACTCGTGGCAGTGTGTCCTTTGTCACTTAAGTTTCACCTGCTTCCTTGCATTTAAGACAAAAGAAGATGCTGGGAGAGAAGGTCCAGACCAAAAGCCCTTGAACTGATACAGGCGTTACTGAGGAGAAGAGGGTTCCACATATTTGTGCCTATTAGCTTTTTATTGGCTGTATATGTGTATATTTACTGGCAACATATCTATGTGTATTTACAAATATGTTGTCCTAATCTGTGTAGGACAAGGCTTGTATCACCAGAGTGCCATCAGACAGAGCAAGAGACTCTGGCAAATGCACAGTCCTGAATTCCTCTCTAATGGACGCAGCAGCTAAGGGTACACAGCACTGACCTGTGTTGTAGTGCTTTGTGCAGTATCTCAAGTCTTTTTCTTCTTTGAGGATAAACTGGGGCAATGTCAGCCCGTCAGCAACTTGCACGGCTCCTTTTTCTTGCCACTCAAATATAAGATCATTCATCGTGTAGCCAACTGTTGAGAGGAGGGGACAAACACCACGTGAAACATTAAATACCGAGCTGGAAAGGGACAGATTTGTAGAGGAGAGCTATGCTGGGAGGCAGGGACTTATCCTGGCCTTCCTTGGCAATGCTGTGATGAATGGGATTTGGGTTGAGGCAGAACTGCTCATGCATATGGTAAAAGCTGGGGTAGTGACCTGCACTGGAGCTGTGATGCTGTGCAGTGAATTGTCTGCAATAAAGCACATTTTTTTTTCCCTTCAATTTGGCTTGTTGATCTGTTTGCTATTTTTTCAAACTTGACCTCTTTCTCTGAATGAAGTTGTTCATCGTCTTTCCCTCCTTTGGGATAAGCAACATGTACAAGGGGCAAATGTTCATCCAGAGAGAAAAAATCCCATTTGCAGCTCAAAACACTTTCACCTTTCTCCTCCAAAGCGAAAGGCTGATGTAAATACAAGCAAGCCAGTGCTCCTCTCATGGGATCTTTTAAGTTTTGGCTTCTCTAGGAAATGTCACATGTGCTGAATGCATGGAAAACCCTGAGCAAGTGGTTCTTGAGCAAGCCTCCAGAGAAGGCTGAACTGGCAATGGGTTGCAGCAGGGGAGGGAGATGGCAGGGGAGAGGGGGAGGAAAAACACGTTGTCTCCTCTCTGAAATGGAGATGTGCGCAGGACTCACAGCTTTCTAACTGCATGATGCACGTCTGTACGTCCATGGGGAAGTTCTTCAGGTCCATGGGGCAGGCCAGAGTCAGCGTGATCCTGAGGAGAGAGGACAACACAAGGGAATGCCAAACAGTTTGTGGTACTGATGAGTGGGTGAACCCTTTTGGACATCCAATGTTGCAAACAGGTTGGTGCTTTGCCTGAGACGCACTGGTGTGCTGGGGGGAATGACTGATCATTGACCTCTTTCCTGCCTGTGTTTTCACACGTGATGTTGGAAACCATCAGGAATACCGAGCATTTTGGTCTGTGATATAATTCCCAACAGAGTCGCCTGCTGCAGATGGCGTTTCATTGCAATGTTGTTTTGGACTGTGCAGAACAAAGAGTTCCCACACCAAACACTTTTGCTGCTTCGGTCTTCATTTCTTGCCTCGGGTTAACAACAGTCTGGATTAGCAGCAAGCCCAAACCCACTGTCTGGACCCCCCACATGCATTTCCAGAGACTGGGACTGTTTGGAATCTTTGAACAGAACATTTCTGTGTCAGAAAAAAAAAAAAAAAAGAATGTTGGTCAAGATCCCTCATTGCTGTGGGGGAAAAGACAGACTTTGGTGGGATTTTCTGCAGGGAAAGTGCTCTGTGGTAAGTCAATATGAACCTCTGTATATGTATCGACCTGAATGCCTGCTGTGTCTCTTGAGACATCTAATTTTGTCTCCCAAACTCCATTTTCCACTAGGTGTAGGCTGCATTTTCTGTGGTATATTGCTGTGCTGCCCTATACCATGATCTGCGCTCAAAAAGTTTGTTTGGTTCAAGAAGCGGATATTAAATGATTTGATTCAGATTGCTAGGCTTGTGTTATTTGGTTTGATAATGCTGAAAATGCTGTTCCCTGAAGTGTTTAGATTTTTCTGCTTTTTGCCTTGATGTAGAAATAGCAGAATTTCCTGGGGGACAGGAATTGAATTTTTCTATCATCAGACCTACAAGAAACTTAGCAGGAGGGAAAGATACTTTAACTCAAATTCTTATGTTGAAAGAAATTCTCTGCTTGAGTTTAGAGGCATGTTCAGACAGAAGATGTGACAGCAGAAAGAATCAACCTGTTCCAGTTTCCTCTTTATGAAAGCATTTTCTGCATTTAAGCAAACACCTCACCAGGAGAGAGTTGTCACTAGCCTTTGGCCACTTTGTTTTTCTCATTTCATATCTGGCAGGGAACACCATCTCTGATAAATCAGAGACATAAGCCTTTAATTAGATCTTCAGACAAGCCCCTTCAGAAGAATTTATGGTAAATATCTGCCAGATGTGAAACAGGGGTGACTGTGGCTGCGACTAGTTCATGAGATGCTGAGCACATGCTGGACGAGTGTGTGCTGAGAAGGGATCAGAGAGTGAAAACCTCATAGATTATTTTGGGTGAACCCAGTGCTGAGCATGCTGAGTCATGGGTCCATGGGATAAAGTTCACCTTCCTGTAAGTGCCTTGACTAGAGTTTGACTATTGCAAATAGTAGTAGCAAAGATCCAGTTAGAAAATGGCAGAGCACTTTAGACGGAAACTTTTTTTTAAAAAGGAAAGACTATTTTTCTCCTTTTGGAAACTAACTGCATTTACATTGTGCTCTTCCATCATCAATGTCCTCTTTCCTTTTGGTTTTCACAGGAAAAGGTACTTAAAAATCCTTTTTTATCCTGGGCTGCATCAAAAGAAGCATGGCCAGCAGGTCAAGGGAGGTGATTCTGCCCCTTTCCTCCGCTCTTGTGAGACCCCACCTGCAGTACTGCATCCAGCTCTGGAGCCCCCAACACAAGGAGGACGTGGACCTGTTGGAGTGGGTCCAGAGAAGGCCACAAAAACGATCAGAGGGCTGGAGCACCTCTGCTATGAGGACAGGCTGAAAGAGTGGGGGTTGTTCAGCCTGGAGTAGAGAAGGCTCTGGGGAGACCTTAGAGCCCCTTCCAGTGCTTAAAGGGGACTTACAAGAAAGATGGGGACACACTTTTTAGCAGGGCTTGTTGTTGTAGGACAAGGGATAATGTTTTAAACTAAAAAAGGGTAGATTCAGACTAGATATAAGGAAGAAATTTTTTTAAGTTGAGGGTGGTGAAAGTCTGGCCCAGGTTGCCCAGAGAGGTGGTCGATATCCCATCCCTGGAAATATTCCAGGTCAGGTTAGACGGGGCTCTGAGCAACCTGATCTAGTGGAAGATGTCCCTGCTCATTGCAGAGGGCTTAGACTAGAAGACCTTTCAATGTCCCTTCCAACCCAAACTATTCTATGTTTCTGTGATTCTATGAAAAAGAAACCTATATTTTCATTTGGAAATGAGGGAGATAAAGTTATTTTTTTTAAACAGTGAAAGTTTTTGCCTTGAAAACAGGGATCAGCTCGGCCACATTGCTCCATGTGCCCTGCTGAGTCTTTGCTCTGTTTTGCAGAGCAACCCCAGGGCTGGGGTGACCCAGTATTCCCACTCTGTGATCCTGCAAACCCACCTGGAAAAGGACTCTGTGCCACATGCACTGCCAAGTTGCTGGTGGCAGTTTTACTACCTGCCTAATTTTAGAAATTAAGAAATATATGTTTTCCACATTCAGCCAACATGCATGGCTATTCCCTTACTGTTTTGGCCATCAGGGATCTGGTCTTTGTACTGGAACCACCTTGATGTTCGATGGAGGCTGTCTACATTGCAGCATTAAGCTGTTTATTTTCCATTTTGCAGCTGCGTGCTGCTTTTTCTTCCCCATGGCTGCCACTGGGAGCTGCAGCGTGAGATGGGGTGTGTGTACCTCAGGCAAATTTACATTACACATGAGGTGAAAAAGTCTTCAAGATAGAGTTAAGCTTTTGCTCCTTAAGCTCATGCAGTTTGATCTTAATTTCATTGGTTTAAAATAAAGAGTTGATGGGTTTGGAAGTGAAGTGAAGGTGGGGGACTGGATTGATTTCCTGTGGGAAATTCAGTGCAATTAGTTCAGCTTCACTGATGGATTCTCAGATCTAGCTATAAAGGGATACATGGGAAGAGTTATACTGAGACAAAGCCATGGAACTCTACTAAGCAGTTTCCCTAATGTTCTTGTCAGGAAATGCTGTAGCTTTCAAAACATATTTTAGGCTTGTGCTAGTATAATATCTCAAGTAATTTTACATTAGGGGTATTAAGGAATCTACTAGTGAGGAGCAGAAGTCCTCAGACTGAGAAAGGTAGAGATGAACTAGATTCCTTCCCAGACCAACCCTCTGTCTCATTACGCTTTGGCTAACACCTTCCTGGTTATTACTTTTCTACCTGTTGTAGAAGCATCAGCAAGTAGTGACCATCCGGCTGAAGTACCAACATCCTTCTGCTGCAACACGGATTCAACTACTGATGCAAGGAGTTATTTCCCAGTCTGCCTTTTTCACTCAAGCTTTCTCTCTCCCTTCTCCAAATAAAACTGTTTCTGAAAATAAATTTCCTAGGCATAGCTTTGTCTTAGCAGGTCTTAAAGACAGAGCTGCCTGAAGGTATGGAAGTAGCCCCAGCTACGCAGTGGTCTTTGCTGTCCCAGAGGCAGCTCATGGTGTGCAGTCTCCATGCCTTACAAAAGCACCATCCTGACTTCTGGAGGGAGGCATGAGGCACAGGAAAATTTGTCTCTATCTCAAGCTCTTCTTTGGTGTGTGAAAGAGTACCGCCAGGCTGCCTAGTTCTTTTGGATGCGTGTCTTTAACCATGAAGAAAAATAATGGTGTTTTTCATGCTTTCTTTTAAAATGAAGCTACTAATGCAAAATTAGGACTTGAAGCTCAGGTAGCTGGTGGCACTTCCTCAGAAAGATTCCACACTTTTACCAACCACTTCTTCTTCGGGTGGCTGGAGAAATACTTCTTCACTTACAGCACACTACTCTGCTCCTACAAGGACATGCTTAGATATGCAAACAGGGAACTGTACACCTCACTGCTTTTAAGAACAGGTTAATGCTGGATATAAAGGTCCAGATGAGAGAGCTAGTTAATGATGATTTTCTTTTTTAAATGTGAATAGCTGTATTTAACTCAAAAAAACCCCAAACAATATTGGTCAGGGAAACAAGGATGAGTTTCGCTTTTCAGTGATATTTGTATGAAGGAATCTTCCCCAGAAGGAGAATGAAACACTGGCACAGGCTGCCCACAGAGGTCATGGGTTCTCCATCCATGAGGTATTTCAATTTGGCCAGACAAAGCCACGGCTGACCTGAGCTATTGCTGTCGATTGTCAGGACAAGGTTGCATGGGAGACCTCCAGAGTTCCCTTCCCACCACATTGCTATGACACTGTTAACTGTATGATCTCCCACTTTAAAAAAAGCCTCAATTTCTTTTATCCAAGGGCATGCTCAAAGTCTTCACTTTCTCATTTTAGGCTTGAACAGTGTGAGTTCAGCTCTGCCCTCCCCTACCTTGGTGAAGCTCTTACCATTGAGTCACCTCACCTGATGCTGTAGAGGACGTTGCCATTTCTGGAGATCCTCAGAAGCTTGTTGTCTGTGGTAATCTCATGGAAATGGGCCCCTTTCTCATTAGCGAAGAACAAGTCAGGCTTCCAGATGGAGTCCAGCATAGAGGGGTCCAGGTCCAGAGAGTCATCAGGGTATTCATTGTACGCCAGCCGTGGGTCGTTCCATTGCTGTCGCAGGAAGATGTTCACCCTGTAATCCTGCACGGTGTAAGCAGGGAGGAGAGAAACGCAGTTAGCGCTCAAAGCGGGCTGAAAGTGCTGAGAACTGGGGATCGTGTTCTAAAACCATTCTCAAAACCAAACCATGTCTAGGCCTACGTTCCCAAGCTATGGCAAGCCTTTTTTGCCATTATTCCTCAAAGAGCTGTCATTTTTAGCTCTGTAGCTTACAGCTGTCTCATAGCGTGAGCAGCTGCTGATCCTTGCATGCCTCCATCACAGCAATTGTCAGCTGTGTGTGAAGTGTCAAGACCTCTAGTCTGAACCCCGGGGCTGGAGAAGCGATGTTCAGTTGTGGAGGTCGTAAGGGCTGGTGTCAGCGGGATGACTGTTGCAGAGGATTAAGGGGGAAAGGACATCAAAACCAACTTCCTTTCAGTGTTGAACCATCCCATATTGTGACTGTCTCTGGTTCCTCCAGACTTGTAAAAGGAAAAGGCACAGTGAGACAGGCAGTCCATGGAAGGGATATTCCCTATGGGTTCACTAACATAGGGTTAACTCAGATGAACTGAAGGGAGCAGCTGCCCTTGGTGAGAGTATGTGAACAGGGGAGAGATGTGCATGAAGTCTGTTCTAATCCTAAGTGAATGTTCTGGGTTCCCCTTGCTAATGTCAAAATGCCATAAATGCTACAGATTTTATAGGATGGCCGTCTTCTTTAACTGAAGCTAGTCCCCCACCACTTTGCAAAATGATATCTGCCTCTTAACTGTGTGTCTTACAGCTCCCCTGAGTCCCCCAGGCCAAGGCTGGCTGCTGAGGTTGAGCTCAGACACCCTCCTGGACAATTAAAGGCAGTTCCTCTTCTCCCTGTCTGACCGATAGCTTCCCCGGGTGAACTGCGTGCCCCTTTTCTGCTGAATTTCACATAAGAAAGTGAGCCAACAAATTGAAGTGGAGAGACGACGTGCCAGCTATCAGGAGAGGGATAAAAGCTCCATGTCCATAAATTAATTGACATTTTCTAAGTATAGAGGCAGACTGCATCTGAAGAGCAGCACATAATAAACCAATTTCACTGCCCTCGCCCAAACTAATAGTTGCTATCGTGATTAAGGGTTTCTTTGGTGCCTTTCTAATACTAATGTGCTTTGAAGACTTTTATTAAGAGACAGTTAATGGAGGGGGTCTGACGTGCTTGCTGGTATCTAATACCTGCTGCAGGCACTAGGACCTTTCTTTCAGTGATGCTATTTGGCACCTCTGAGGGGATCTCCCTGACTCTGCCATCATTAGGTCTGTTCTTTCCACCTGGAGAACACGAAGCTCTAGAGTTGAAGGGTGCGTGTGGAGGAAAGTCTTTCTGATGTTGCTGCCTCAAGTGCTCACTTGACTATTGTCGTGGTTCCGGCAGGGATGGGGTTAATTTCCCCGAGGATGCGGCAGGGGACACAGGCATTCCATAGCACGTTAGCCATGCCCATAGGGGATGGCTATAGCCCATAGAGGGGAGCTGGCCGAGGGAGGGGAGGAAGTCGTAGCTCAGAGCAGGCAGGGGTGGTCCGGGTGCGGGTCTGGGTCCGGAGGGTGAGACGGCGGTATTACCGGCGATTACGGTGGTACTGTCATCGCGTTTGTGCATTCCTCTATCGGTGGTGGTGATGTTTCCCTCTTTCCTTTGCTGTTCTGTTAAACTGCCTTTATCTCAGCCCACGAGTTTTGCCTTTTTCTTCCGATTCTCCCCGACGGCCCCGGGGGTTGAGCGAACTGCCTCGTGGTTCTTTGTTACCAGCTGAGGCCAAAACCACAGCTATGAACCTACAGCCTGGTGTGCAGGAGGACAGGACTCTGGTGGAGTCCTATCACACAGGAGGCTTTGGAGAGGATTGTGTCTTGGGTGCGTTGTGGCTTTGGATGGGGCAGTTCATAGCCCAGCCTGTGGTCTGGAACCTCTTTCACACCACGTAACGCCATCTGCATCCTGTGAGCACAGAAGCTTCTAATGATATTAATGATTGTGACAACAGCAAATGGACCGAGGACTTGATGCTAAAAGGAGCACACTTCTGAACATGAAAAAGAGTTGCAACACTCTCTCCCTCTGCTGATATTCCCAATGTCACCTTCACAAGTCCTAGTGGGTCCCTCTGACTTAATTACTCATCTCTGTCGACCCGGTATAATGTCTTGAGAAAATGTGGATAGCTGTGGACAGCTAGGAAGCAGGGCCTTAGCGCAGAACTAGCCAGTCACAAAAACCTGAAAAAAAACGAAAGCAACCCTGAATCTCCACTTCCCGTGGCTCGCAGCAGCTCCCTGAACAACTTGGATACTTTCAGTTCCCCCTTTTCTGCCTGTAAAGATCTGCAGCCATCGCAGTCAGGGGAAATCAATGTCACTGACCTAGCAGGTAGAAAGCAAAAGGTTGTTTTGCTTATTCAGCTACAAATAAGCTGGATGCTAGCAGGTCAGCTCCAGTTGGGGGCTTATGTCGTGTACAACACAAATTAAACTCATGTTTGGAAGAAACTTCAGTGGTAGCTGCCCAGAAGTGTTCTCAGCCTGATGGAGTGTTGGGAGGGGGGGGAAATGGAGCCAATCTCCCTGTAACAGCCTGTGTTGCTGCGGATAAGCTTTGTTGCTGGAGTAAATTCACTGCTTCAGCTCCAAAACTTGCTAAAAGGAAAGGAAAGGGTGAGAAAAGAGGTGTAGTGTGGTTTATGTTACCATCACAGCAGGCATAAGAGGCCATAGACGGAATGACTGCCATAGTCTTTGTCATCATGATGAGGGATCTTAATCCCATGCTTGTGGGCCAAATGAAAATTAACTTCTCACAGTAGAGGGCTGTGAAAAGGTCCCTCTTAACTCATCTCCAGAGACCAAGTGTCCTGTGCTCATGTCCTACGTGGGAACAGTCCAGAGTGCGCTACATCCATCCAGCGGATGTTCAGCAGTGTGGTGAGTAACTCTTGATGTGTGCTATTCTTTGGGGTCCTCCTATGGAGTGTTTTCAGTGGATGTTTTTTGTATTGGAATATAGGCACATGAACATTTATGTTGTGATACAAGAAAGGCAAGGCCAAAAAATATAATACATGCACTGAATGCAATTCTCTGGCTTTGCCATTTTATGGCATTAGTATTTTACTTATCTGTGTGTGTGTGTGTTTATGAAGACCTTCCTTCTCAGTGGGTTTGTTCCACAATCCTGGCCTGGCCACTGAGAATGGTTGTTTCCTCCCAGATGCCTTTTACCTTATGGCAGACAGCTGCGTTCCACGGTAGTATTGAAGGTGCTGAGCAGCCGTTAAATTACTTGTGTCCAGGCCTATTTGAACATTAATGTAAAAACAATCGCTGTGACTGCAAAGTGGACGTGACATTGCCTGAGGAGCCAGCAGAAAGCATGGAGAGCAAATGGGGTGTGTCTGTGGCTGTGACATAGCCTAAGAGAAGGGTTACGGTATTCTGTACCAGCTAAAGCATCCTGTGTGCTGAAAGCTGAGAGGTGATGAGCCCACCACCGCTTTTTCATTGGCTACCTGGAGATATACAGTGTTTCTCCTGGATGCTGTTGTATGAGATCTTAATTAGCATCACCAGGAAGTCCACAGTTATTCCTAAATGATGGACAGAACGGACCACTGTCTCATATGAACTTTCAAGCAAAAAAAAAAAAAATGGTTTTACTGGGGCTGCAAACTCAGCAAAAAAAAAATCTCTTTCTCCATATCCTTCTCACTTGAGCTCCTCATTTGTGTGCCAATCACATCCAGGCATTGATTATCTTGTGCAGCCTGCTCCTCTGGCTGGCTCGGGACTGGAGAAAAGCAACCCTGTGTTGTGAAGGCATTCAGGAGCTTTGCAATTTGGCACAAAGGCATTTTACTCCCAGGGGGGAAATGACACAAGGCAGGAAGAAAATAACTGAAGTGATCAAAGTAGTTCAATTTGATAATGCTGAAATGAAATTCTGCTTAGTGGCCTCGCAAGGAGCCAAGGAAACGGAAGATCATTTCAGACTGTTCCTTCCCAAGATACCACAGTCTTGGCATCTGGTGATGAGCGAGCCGATGAAAGCAGTTGCAGGCTGGAGGTAGTGCTGTGAAGCAGGGATGGAGGCTGTCAGGAAACTCAATAGGTTTCAGCCCCTGACTCAGGGGTTCTGTCAGATCAGCCTCTGCACTGAGGGGTTTTGGTGAGAGACTTCACTTTGACAGAGTTACATTTTGCTGATGGAAAAAAAAACCCCAACAGGATAGAGACTGAACTCCCTCTGGGGGGGAATTCCCACCTGGGAAGAGCACAGGGGGCTCTACTGACATTGAGTTCGTTCTCTAGAAAAGGAAGGAACAAGCATTTTTAAGGCTACTTGCTCTGCAAAGGGGCACTACAACTGACTGATTGCAAAAAAAAAAAAAAAAAAATACACTGTGAGCAGACCTCGGAAGGGTTAACTAGAGACCTCGTTACCTTGCCACAGCTGTAGTCAAGTAGCCAATTTGAAGCCTGGTGGGAAAGCCACAGCTGGGCCAAGGGGAGGAGGTGCTGTGAACTGTAGTTGTGTTGGAGGTGCTGCTGAGGAGGTGGTCTGGTGCTTCAGGTATGTAGGTGTGTGGTGAGGGGTTGGGACAAGTATCCTGGTGCTTAATATGTGTGGTTGTTTTTGTTCTGGACCCCAAAGCAGAAAGTTTTTCTGGACCTTCCTGTAAAAGCAGAGGAAAGCACATCCCTCTGGGCCAAGGATGGGGTTGCTGCAGGGGTTGGGGATAGGCTGTAGCTGCTATCCTGAATTTCAAGCTCAGGAATTTAGTAGTGAGGTGTTGTTCTTCAGCTTGGTTTTTTGTGCCCTTGTATTTGAGTTGCATAGTCCCATTTCATGTTTTTTTTTTTTTTTTTAATGGTTCCCTCCTCTAATCAGTGCAAAGACAAACTGCAACCACAGAGATGGCCAAAACGCTGCATGTGTAACGCTGAAACTGCAGCAGACTGTGAGGTGTTGTGGAAACCTTTCCATTTTGTGTTGTGTGACTTGTTACGTGCTTATTATCTCTGTGGGACTGATGGTTGGTTTTAAGAATGACTGACTGCAGAAACCTGAGCTCCAACCCCAGCCTTTGCTACAGGCTTTGTGCTTTGATACTTCAGTCTTTCGCTGACCTGGGCCCAGTGTTAAATGTGACCTGTATGCTTCATCAGTCATATTTGCTGTCTGCTGCACTGGGGCTTGTGAAGCTGGAGTGAATTGCTTAGTCTGTTTTGCAGGATGGTTTGTTATCTCATTGGAAAGCTCATGTGCAGATGTCTCTGAACAAGTATTTAACGTTTGGGCAGTTGCAGCCTCCAGCTTCTCCTGTCCTTAAGAGGTGATGGGAGGCCAATTGTGGCTGTGTTGCAGCTGGCTGGAAGGTTAGGTTTGGTATGCTTTTTTTTTTTTTCAGCTGGCATAACTATGGCATGAAATCAGCAGAAACGAATTTGTATATATACACTCTGTCTAGGGGAGCCCATGCTGGCTGTCTTCTGGTTTTCTTTTACACTCTCGTTTGCTGCATGTGGGTCCTTTTTGAGACACGGGACTAGGGGAGGTCATCTTGAGCATTGACTTCAGCTCCTAGCAACTCCAGGTGATGATATATATATAAAAAATTATATATTTCTCCTCCATGTGCCTTCACTGTATACAAAATGCTCCCAATGGCCTAAGTGAGTGAGAGATCCATAAATCTGCATCTTCCATTGGAAGAGAGATTAAGGGCATTGCTTAACTCCAAGTTTGTTTTTATAGCAGGATATCTGTTAGATGAAATGTTCGGATAATCCAACCAGTTATCTCATGCTACAAACGAAAACCAAAGCTGGTGTGGTTTGTTCGCTTAAAACCAAGATGCTGTTTCTTAAGTTCTTGACTTCTGCTTCATTTTGAATGAAAAATTTGTAGCTTTGCTATAGGTTTCCTACTCTGGTATGGTTGGGGAAAGGTGCTTATGCTTTTGAAGAGCAAAAAGGGATTTAACAGCTGGTGGTGGGGGATTGTCTGGTGTTTTTATTAAAAATAAGTGGATAGAGTGGATGCATCTTGCATTTGCCCTGTGGAATCCCTTGCTGTTAGGTGTGCTGTTGCAGTAATGCTTTGGGAGAGGAGGCGGCTGTCTGGGCTTTTCTGGCTGTTGTAGTTGGTAGTACCTTTCCCCTTGAAGCACTTTTTGGGTTCACGGGGATGTGCTCCCACTCGCAGGTTCCCTTGTCCTTAGAGCTGATTGCAAGTGAGGCTGATGGATATAAGCTATGACCCACAATCGAACATGAATGTCCAATCAGTTCTGTGCACCACTAGAAGCTTTTATTATGTCGGGTTTCCAGTTCTGTAGGATGCTTAAAGGAGTTTACTTCCCTTGCTCTATGTCAGCTCTGCTTTGGGGAATTCAGTTTGGTGGATGACTTGGTTTTTTCCCTATTCCCTCTGTCCTTGCAACAGTTTTCAGGTCTCCATTTCTTGCTTTGTTCATTTTGAACCTTCGTGGGGCAGATCTCGGCTTTCTGCCTGCTCTGGGAAGACTGTGCTGTCTCTTGGCCCCAAGTCATTATCCTCCCTTCTGAGGCTTGTAGACCCTCATGTCTGCATCAAAGGCCTGTTTTGTTCTGTTTTGCTGTATTTTTCCCCTCTTCCTCTACCTTCCATGACACCTCGAGCTGTGAGTGGCCATTCACCCCCAGTTTCTCTAATCCTCTGCAAGGTGACCTCATGATTTATGCTGATTTGAGAGATTCCAACAGTGTAAACTTAAATGGCGGCAGTGGTATTTTCTGTACGAACTGACAGCCCCACTATGGACACATTTTAGCACCTTCTTTAATTGCATGTGTGGTGCCCATAAAAACCTGGGGCTCTTCTCCTGCAGGTAGCAGTGCAATAGGAACCAACTGTAAGATGATGTAGTACTTAGAACCTGAACCTGGCCAGGCTTAGGGTGCCTAATGATTGAGGTTTAGACCATAACGTTGTTCTTTCTCTTTTGGCCAGTGAAATGTCTCAGGAAGTGTTACTATCATCAGTCCCAGGGGTCAATGATAAACCACTGCTTTCTTCATGGTAAAATGTTGAATTTCCTCTCTACTCCCTGCAAGCTTCCCCCCTTCCCCCCTAGGTATCTGATCACTGGTTTGAATCCAAAGTAGTTGGGTCTGTCTCAAAATCCCTTTGTGACAGGAGCTTCTGCCCTTCCCAGAAACTCCAGTGGGGAGATGACATTGCCCGTTTGACCTGCTGGGTCCTCAAAGAGTGGGGAGAGACTGGCTTCTCAGCAGAGTAAATCCCAGGTTAGCAAATCCCAAAGATTGCTCTAACGTGCTGGGGTCTCATTTTCAGATGTTTCGGTGCCTGTATTGCTTGTGTTCTTGTCAGCGTTTACAAGCAGAATTGCTGTCCCCAAAGAAGTGCGTTATCTTAGGTTGTGTGCAATGCTGCGTCAGCCTGACATCTGGACTAGCTTGTCAGAGCTGGCTTGGGTATTTCTAGATAAAGCAATGTGCCCAGAGGGTGTTCTTGGGTTCCCATGGGAATTTTTTCTATGGAAGATAGACTATGAAATGAGTGGCATCTGGAGAGGATAGCAAGTCCCTGCAGCGTGTCTTGGAGGTGAACTGCATCTCTCTCTCACGCTAGTCTATGCTAATTTTATGAAGCATCCTGCTTACAGGGATCCTGTGGCATCTTGGCATGACTGCTCCGATGCATCCGGCAATGTAGGACAGATACATTGAAAACCATGTCATTGTCATGTGCTCTGTAACATTGCTCGGGGATCCCTTGTGGGCCTGCCCTCCCCCTTGCACTCTGTGGATTGTCTCTGGATTGTGTAGGAACAGCGTATTTATTGCCTGTAACACCAAAGAAAGTATCCAATAAAATAGTACATTAGGAACAGATGTGTATTTTCGCTCTAGTTCTTCCTCTTTTGCTTTATACACAGATGAATCCATGAATACACATTTCCCGTATGAACTCTGACAAATTCTGCAATCCAACTACCAAATGTGTTTGTGCTTGGGCAGAGCAATAGGGTGGTGTGTTGTGTTTGTTGGGGTTTTTTTTCTACTACTGGAACTGAACTGTCCCCAACCCCAAACATTTCCAGAAGAATGGTATAAATAGTAGGGTCAGAAGAGACTTACAACCCCAGGTATTCAGCTGTTGATCTCCTGACAGTGGTGTGCCTTATAAGTAACTTGTTAAAGTCAGTGGGTGTGATCTATATGTAAAGACTATAACATCCTGCCTGAATGTACAAAATGCCTGAAGCTGGAGTCTTGTGTTCTTCATTCAACATCTTTTTCTAGAAAAAGAATTACCGAAGAGTAATTAAATACCACATTTCTGGATTAGCTTTAATTAGTGCAGAGGTAAGGCACTGTACCTCCAGTTTTCCTTTGCTGTTCACTGATTATGTCACAACCGATCTTTAATAGTTTTCAGATGGAGCAATTATCTCCTGTTCTAGTGATTCTCTGCTCCTAGTGTCTTGCCAATTAGATACAGCCTTTAGCCATGCTCACTAATTTTGTCTGAAGCGAGCCTTAACTTGCGAATATTGGTTTTGATTTTTTTTTTAATTGAAAATTATTGTCTACAGAAATATATCTCCAAGAAAATAACTGTCTAGTGATTCTCTTAACCTTTGGAAATCTGAAACTGGATGCAAACTGAATTTGAGTTCAGCTGATTTCCCCGTACTTAAAGTGTTGATTCAAACTTCTGGATTTATATGCACTTAAACACAACGTATCTGCAACTGTATCTGAGTCCGGAGCCTTAGGGACATCTTCAGTAAAGACTATTTGTTTCCATTTCTGACCCTTATACTTTGTACAGTGTTTTTGTAGAGATGCAGACATTGACTGTATGATCTTCAACTACGGGCTGTGCGAGTCTTGTATGTTGACCATTAATTTACTCAAACCTGAGGTAAACCTTGGGAACGCACAGACAGTACTTTCCTTTGGTCACACTAAAGCGGAGGGTGATATTTGCCGGGAGCGCAATAAGGCTGAGCCAGTAGCTGAGCAGCTGTGCTGTGATTTTTACTTACCATAGTCGTTTCTGCAATCGAACCAAAGCTGTTGATGAAAATGTTGCAGCTGACGTTCACTGGTGGGCCTGCATGACAAATACAGATTGGAACAGCGGTTCACCGTCTGGTTATAAGACAAAGTGTTTTTACTCTGTAATATTAAAACCTGTTGTGGGAACAGGTGACTGAGGGGTGAGTGTGGGAATAAGGTCCGGCCTTGGTTCTGATGCCGGTTTGACATCAGACAATGCTCTCGCTTTGCCTCCATTCCTGGGTCTGGGAGAGTGTTTGTATATCTCTTCTGTGAGCTGTTTTGATGAAAAGGAACAGATCGCAGGCAGGACAGCTTTCTAGGGATCTCGGCATTGCTATATGGGTGCCAAGCTCACCTTGAACATGATGGCGATGTATCCTAGAAAAGAGCTGAGAGACTACTGAGAGGCCCTCTTGTTGAGAGCTCTGTACTTCTAAAATACTTATTTAAAGCATCTGAATGTTTCTGAACGGGGACCACGCGCTCCCTCTGGAGCCGGTGCAGCAGTGTGCTGTAGGGGTCAGGCTGGGTAAAGGAGCAAGTGCCCCCGGTGATCACGGTGGTGTCTGCTGAGGCTCACAGCTGGACAGGGGACTTCAGCGCTCTGTCAGTGGATGTTCTCTGACTGTCCTGTTTTGGGAGAGGTTACTCCCAGACTTTGGGCCGTGCCTCTCCTGGGCTTTATTTGCTCTCGGAGCGAAGCTTTGCTTAGTGTTAGCCATATTAGAAAAGTGAAGGGGCAACGGAAAGAGGGGAGTGAGGATTAAGGGATGAAAAGGTGGTGGTTAGAGGCCACGGGGGTCAGCCTGTTCAGGTGGTACCGGTGCCCAAAGGTATCAGTATGTCTGGAAGTGGATCACAATATTGCCTGGCAAATCTGAGGTGGAAATGTTGTATTTGCAACGAAGGGAGATGCCGAGAGCTGCAGTTCAGCACAAAGCAAATAGCTGGCGAACGTTTTGGAACCAGAGCCACATCTGGTGCCTGGCAAACGAGCGGCTTGCCCACATAATGGAAGGATTTCTGTAGAGCCTTGAGGGGAGAAGCAAAAAGGGCCTCTGCTCTGGGGGCTCCCAAAGGACCTGCTACTGGTGCTGCCCGTGTGTGGTGGGGGAAGGCAGCCCAGGCGGAGGAACCTCCCCAGGAACCAAGGTGTCCCTTTAACCAAGGTGTCCCCACTGAGGGAATTAATCTCATATCATCCCTGTGACAGATGCTTCTGGGGAGATAAGATCTGTGGAAGTGGCGAGGGTGAATTTTCTTTTAGATTATTCTCCCATCCTTTATGGAGATGAGGATGGTGTCTGCATTTCAAACGCAGCCTGATGGCTCAGCCTCGCTCAGGAAGGGATGCTTTGCCTGGTAGGGCCACATCTGCAGTCTGGCAGCTGCTGCAAGATGAAATATTTGGGGGGGGTGGCAGTGGGGGGTGTCAGGGAGGGAATGGCTTTAACAAGAGGCTTGTGCCTCTAATCAATGCAAACTTCCTCTTTTGTGGAAATTAATGGCATTTCCTGATTCCTAAGTAACATTTGGAGCTTGGTTTGCTCCTTTTCATTTCCCTTTCCTCCTCTCCTGTTTCAGTCTCTTCTGAAACTTTGTGCCTGTCCTCTGCGGGAGTGGGATTGCAGCCACATAGCAGCAACGCTCTCTATGGCTGGGTACGAGTCTTCTGGGTACGAGTATCTTCTTGGTACGAGTCCCAGGCAATCCAAGCAGGCTTCTGTCTAACCAGCTCCCAGACAGCCCTTTGCCAGCGTGGCAGCAGCTCACGTACTGTTCAATCTGTGCAACTCTTCCTCCAGACTGTTAAACACAGGCATGGGCTAAAATATCAGATACAAAATGGTATCTTTTTTTTTCTCCCTTCCTTCACCAACCCCTCTTATGGAACAGGCTTGTGAAGTTTTCCCAGCAGCTGAAAGTATACATTTGATCATGCTTTAGCACCTTTTTTTTATGCTTTCTGTAGTGCTCCTGTTGAGCCTAGGAGTATTAATTTTCGTCTCTGGATCCATCTGTTGAACCATATAGATGGTCCATGTACATGTGATTCCCCTTCCCAGAGGGCACAGCATAAGAAAAACGCTGAGCTGACCTCCTGGATGACTGCATGTGCTTATGCCTCTGACATGCACAGGAGGTTTTAGCCCTGCTCTTCCTCATCCTGGGCTGATGTGGGATGAGCTTGCCCCAGTGCGCCTTTAAAAGACTTTCTCCTTGGGGCAGCCCAGCTCTTGCTGAGGCACTGTGCTTTTCCCACTGTGTCCAAGGGGACCTGGGAGTGGTTGGTAGGATTTCTTTGTGGGTTTTGTGGTGGTGTTTTTTTTGTGGGTGTTTTCTTGTGTGTGTGGGGGGGGGTTTGTGTGTGGTTTGTTTTTGGTTTTTTTTTTTAGCTTGTGTGAGGCTCTAGAAACTTCCCTGCCTGCCACTGAGAAGTGCCGCCTCTGCAGTGGGATGCAGTTGGGGGGGACTATAGTCTTCCAGCAGCAGGGTTAAGGGTACAGTCTGGGTGAGAGGTCCCTTGTCCCGCACCTGCCGGGGCCAGCTCCATCCCTGCCTGAGTTACTGACTTCATCCTCCAACTTAAAGCAAAGCCCAAATGCTTCTTCCTTGTTCTCAGAATGTGAATCCCCAGCTAAGTCCAGACTTTACAGCATTTATGGAAAAGCTGCAATCTTCTCTTTGCTAATCTTCCCCTCCCCAAAAATCAATCTGATACGGATCTTTGGTATTATTTTCATTTAGATCTAAGCCATTAAGATGCCCTTATGAGTTACTGCTGTTAATTTAAATGACATGGTTTGAGAGCTACAACCCCAAGCTCTGTAAAACACCTCCTATGCCTCCCATATAAATTGGAGCCTGATTTATGTGTGGGAGGCTACGCCAGCAAAACTGCCCTGTGGGGAAGGTGTAGTTCATTGAAATAAAACTGAAATTAAATTATCTCAAATAAAAATGCAATACAGCTGCCTTC